AGGCAGACGTGGCCACTGTGACTAAACTCCATGCTATCATGGCCATACAGATGTTGATGAGCTCTGAAGGCTTTGAAGGCTTTCTCACTAATTGAAGTTTTTCAAACTGGCCTGATTATTTGGAGTAGTTCTGTTTCAGATTGGGTTGTGCTACATGGAGAGTTTCACTGCCGCAGTGACCCTGCCGAAGTTAATCAGCCTGAAGAGAAAGGAGAATTAAGTCTGGAATGGACATAGTGAAATATTTGCCAACCTTGATGATGACCTGAGTGTAAAAGCCCAAATGTTCATCATGTTGTTACTGTTGTAAGAAAGCTTTGAATCTCAGAAAAGGTCATTTTACAGCAGAAAGAAATGAAATGTTCTGAGACTCCTGAGTGGCAAAGCTATCTAAAGCTGGCAGATTATGTCAGTTTACCCCATAATTTAGCCAAAAAGATGTGCTGCTTTGAGTTCGTATCCAAACAGAGCAGCAAACAGAGCTCCTAATCACCGCGTTGGTCACTCTTAAACCTTCCCCTGGCTGTGATTGGTCCTAACCACCATGCCATTCAATTTAAGGCCTCCACCAAACTGTGATTGGTCCTATTCACCATAGGGTTAGTTCTAAGCCCTCCGCTTGACTGTGACTGGTTCTGATTACCCCAGTGTTTGTTCTGGGACCTCCCCCTGAGTGTGATTGGTTCTTATTACCACAATGTGGAAGTGTTAATGATGGGAGGAGGAAAGACGCCGGGGGCAGGTGTGAAGAAGGAGAGCTCTTTTATTCACAACGCAACAAAAAATTACTTGGTTTTTCAGCCCACAAAGACAAGACGCTCGCTGGGACTTTTCAGTCCTTTCTGTCCACTTTTTATCTGATCTACTCAGGCCAGTTCGGTTCAGCTCAGCTCAGCTCTCACGCCTCCAGTGGTCTCCTTCTCTCTCTGGGCTCTGCCGCCTACTGAAGGAAGAGATATATAAGTAGACAGGCAGAAACAAGACACAGGTGAACATTATCAGCTACTTAGCCTGCTGGTTCAGCCAGACCGGCTTCTCCATCCCGCATTCGGCACTCGGCCACGCCCCTTTCTCCACATACAGTGTATGTTCTGAAGACTTCTCTTAACTGTGATTGGTCCCAATCACCACATCATTTGTTCTGAGACCACCCCTTGACTGTGATTGGCCCTGATCTCCACAATGTTTGTTCCCAGACACCCTCCCACTGACTGTGTTTGGTACCAATCACCATGTTCTTTGTTTTCCGAGACCTCCCCCTGACTGTGATTGATTCTATTTGCCACAGTGTTTGTTCTAAGCCCTCTGCCTGACCGCAATTGGTCCTAATCACCACCATGATAGTTCTAACCCCTCCTCTATGCTGTGATTGATCCTAATCACCATGTCATTCATTTGGAGAACTCCCATTGACTGTGATTGGTCCTAATCTTCACAATGTTTGTTCTGAGAACTTCCCTTGACTGTGGTTGATCCTAATCACCATGTCATTCATTCTGAGACCTCCTCTTAAAGTGTGGTTGGTTCTAATCACCACAGTGTTTATTCTGAGACCTCCCCTTTACTGTGATTGGTCCTAATCATCACAGTGTTAGTTCTAAGACCTCCATCTGGTCCCAATCACAATGTCTTTTGTTCTGAGATCTTCCCCTGGCTGTCATTGGTCTTAATCACCAAAGTGTTTTTTTCTAAAACCTCTCTCGACTGTGATTGGTCCTAATCACCACAATGTTTGTTCTAATCCCTAACCCTGAATGTGACTGATCCTATTTACCATGTAATTCATTCTGAGACCTCCTCTTGACTGTGATTGGTCTTAACCACTGTCATATTTTCTAAGACCTACAAATGACTGCAATTGGTCCTAACACCACACTGTTTAGTTTGAGATTTCCCTCTGACTGTGATTGATCCTAATCACGGTGTCATTTCTTCTAATACCTCCTTCTGACTGTGGTCCACTGCTGAAATGACCTTATTAGTAGTGCTGAGATATTTTAATTACATTTAAACAGCATGTTTTGTAGTTTGGCCTTGTTTATTCCTTTCATCATTAGAAGCATACTTCTGGCTTATATGTTGACCTTATCATCGCAAATTCAATCCATGGCCAGGAGTCTAGGACAGCATGATTCTCCTCACTGTCCCACTCTCCCATCTTTTAAAGCAATGCTTGCCAAAGCAGACAACTGTGTAACAGAGTTAGCAGTTAGCATTCAGTTAGCACACATTTAGCAGAACTTAGATTAGTTACTCCAAGCATGGTGAGCTGTACAATGACATTGTGTTAGCTGTCTCTCAGCTTGGTAGCATCAAAGACCTAACTAGTGGGTGGAATAAGCACTTCCTTAAAAGGGAAACAAAAAATGTTCTTAACTTTAATGCATGTTGATGTTTGTATAGCATTTTTTAATGGTGAAATACTTGTTATAAAGTTTTGAAATCACAGCAACCCTATATGAGATTTTAGGGAGAGTTCTTAATGCTACAGTTTGGGGCTTGTGTGTTAGGATTTTTACCTTCTTGCAGATGGTAGCTGCAGTTTTCCTGTGTTTCTGTGTCCATCCCACTTTGCATGCAGAACATTGTTGCATTAATCACTTCCTAAAACAAAGCTTAGTTTGTAACTGAATGTAAATTAGCTGCTCTTCCATCTGTTTATAGTCTAATTAGCTAGTGTCCATCTTTTTTCTTTTTTTTTTTCAGTCTTCCTCTGAAAATAGCCTCCAGATCAGTTTGGAGTCATATTTCATCTTTTAAATTCAGCACCAGCCTGCTGCCTTTTTTGGGACTGAATGAACAGATTGCATGGAGAACAGAATACTCGACAATGTGACAAACTGTTGGTTCAGAAAGAAAGAAAGAAAGAAAGTTCCAGGTTGAAAAGTCATTGCAGCTGATCTATAAAAGGTTCATAGATTGGATAACATCTGGCTTGCATTAATTACATTTTGCAATTCTACTTAAATGCAATTACATTATTACATGTAATTATCTCAGTAATAAACTCATTACATAGGTAATTACATAGTGAATTGTACATGAATTGTACATTCTACATTGACAGTTTGAATTCTGCACTTCTGACATTTTTCCATTTGTTTAAACATCATAAACTGACAAAAAATGGAAAAATATTTTTTCTTTCTTCAAAACAAGGACTGTACACACAACAATAACTTCATACCATTTGAATCATAATAAAACATCTCCTACTTGAATCTATGAATTTATGAGTCTTGGTGAATTGTATCAAAGCATTGATACTTGGATTCGGACATCTAACACATTCAAACCCACATCTTTAGAAGTAATGATGTCTTGCGTGATTCTGAGTGAACTAGACAAATCTCTTCAAGTACAGTAATCCATGCATCTAAGTGCAAAGGGAACAAAGTATAATGTCCTGATTCTGAGTCCAAGTCTGAGTTTGTTCTTGAGAAAAAGAGCCATTTTTCCTTTCTTTCCAAAGCTAAGCTAAAATCCCTGCTCTTCAGTCAGAAAGCTGCCACAGCCTGGGCCATTTTTCATCCCAGGTGAAGATATAGCATGGGGAAAAGTCAGGCCGTTTTAGCTTAACCTCTGTCTCGCAGATGGATCGGCCCAGCTGGACTCTAAGCTATTATTTGTACTCTACATAAATCAGACAGCCTGCTCTGCACTTTCCGATAGAGGCCTAAATATGCACTGTCTCTACAGGGAGCTTTATTATTGACTTCATAACCATGCTGTCTTCAGCTGAAACCTGCACAGTGCACAGTGAACTCTGCCTGAAGATACCGTGTGTACGTGTGATACTTAAGTGTGTGCTGCTGTAATAATGTAAACCATGATGCTGTAAGTAGGCTGTGATTCACCTGTGGTTAAATTGTTAAAGATCTCATTGCATCTAATGGGTTTTTAAAAAGGTAATTATGGTAATTTCAGGTAACAGTTTATTTTAATGGTGCATTATAGAGACTTTGCAGATGCTCACTGTGTATTTTACTTAACATTCAAATAAATATCTAGTACATTTGATTAAATTAACCTAAATTCCCAAAGCTTATATCTTCCATCTATCCATCCGTCCATCCATCCATCTATCTGTCTGTCTGCCTGTCCATCTATCTATCTGTCTGTCTGTCTGTTCATCCATCCTTCCATCCTTCCATCCATCCATCCATCCATCCATCCATCCATCCATCCATCCGTCTGTCTATCTATCTATCTATCTATCTATCTATCTATCTATCTATCTATCTATCTATCTATCTATCTATCTATCCGTCTGTCTGTCTGTCTGTCTATCTATCTACATATCTATCTATCCGTCTATCTATCTATCTATCTATCTATCTATCTATCTATCTATCTATCTATCTATCTATCTATCTATCTATCTATCCGTCTATTTGTCTGTCTGTCTGTCTGTCTATCTATCTACGTATCTATCTATCCGTTTATCTATCTGTCTGTCTGTCTGTCTGTCTGTCCATCTATCTATCTATCTATCTATCTATCTATCTATCTATCTATCTATCTATCTAATCTATCTATCTATCTATCTATCTATCTGTCTATCTATCTATCTGTCTATCTATCTATCTGTCTATCTATCTATCTATCTATCTATCCGTCTATTTGTCTGTCTGTCTGTCTGTCTGTCTATCTATCTATCTATCTATCTATCTATCTATCTATCTATCTATCTATCTATCTATCTATCTATCCATAGGGAAGACCAACTGAGGCGATTAGTCCAAAGTAACAACAAACACAATAGGGATGAAAAATCAAACTAATAATAATAATGATAATAATATGAAATGAATTAAAGTGGTGGGTTCTTAACTGAACTTTTATGACTCGAGCTGAAGGCTCACCTTTAACAGTCATGCTTTGCCACTACATCTCTTCATTTGTGACTCTGTCTTTCTCTCTCTTTCTCTCTCTCTCTCTCTCTCTCTCTCTCTCTCTCTCTCTCTCCCTCTCTCTCTCTCTCTTTCTTTCTCTCTCAGGTTGTCCACAGAGCCCGATGAGTAAGGCCACTCTGACGCTGATCACCGTGAGCACATGTGTGTTGGCCGTAGTCTATGGCTCGCAGACCACCTGCCCGCTCACCGTTAAGATCACCCTCCACGTCCCTGAGCACTTCATCGCTGACGGTGAGACACTAAGAGAGTTCACTTCACTTCACTTTAGCGTTTCTCAACAGTTGTAATCAGAGTTGGGGTAATTACTGTTTACTTCTATCAGACTGTAATGGGGTTACTTCACTGATTACTGCTTGGACTAAAAAATCTCACTACTCATTGCTTTACTTCTGCGTTAATCTCAGCTGTAAGTACAAGAGGACATTTAACCATAGTTTCAGTACTTTATTTAGGAAGAAATATCCACTGACAATACATATCATTTAAAAGACATGTGAAGGCATTAAGAATGACCAATGCTATTTAAAACCCTGAAACTAGCGAGTAGAAGCAGTTCAAAAGCAGAGGCTTTAAAATAACGTCTTTGATAATGAAACGTAAAGTTTACAAAGCTTTCTGTTTTTGGGATCCTTGTTCTTTTAAAGAACTTTATCCATCTATTTTAATATGACTTAGATGCTTCAAAAGATCATTAACTGACACCTTCACTGGACTAGAGATTAGAACCTCTGCACCGAATGTTAGACTCTTCACTGCCCTCTGGTGGAGTACAGAGTTCAGCAGTCAGTTGCACCAGTTCGATCGTAAGTTGGGGTGTAAAGTCCATCCTAAACCTTGCATTGAGAGTAGTTAGTTTAAAACCAGTGACACAAAGAATTTCAGTTGCACCACAGACACTTACTGTACATCTTAACTAGTAGAGCGTAAAGTGATATTACATGAAAACACTGAGCGTGTTTACATGCACTCAATAATCCAATCATAATCTGATTCCTGCAGTTATCCGATTATTCAAATTGTCATGTGAACACCATATTCTGATCTAGAAATCTGATTAAGAAATTTGATGAAGAGAGCTGGATTTTACCTCAGTAGATTGCATGTACACTCTTACTCTGATTTCTTTCGGATTTCTCAGTCTGTGCATGTTCGAGAACAGACGGCGGTACCGGAAATATCCAAGCACTCCAAAGCACTTTTACAGCGGTGCTGAAACCAAATGTGAAATAAATGATTTAAATATTCTTCATCTTCTAGTTAATGTAGGTTCATATTTTCAGATAAAGTAGCGCAATGTTTAATAAAAAAAGAAGCGGCATGAAGTTTGCTTTTACGTTATGTCTACGTCATATCTTCTTCTGTGAGTTCATTGGCTGATTGCTAAGCAGAAATCTGATTACTGATTAATGTAAACCCTGAGTTTCCCCATTACCTGATTACTCAACGTGTTGATTGCATTACTGACAAAATCATTTTTTTTTATCTGATTATTAAGTTCATTTAAACACAGTAACTGTCACACAGAATGATGTTTTCACCCTACAGCCAATCAGTAAACACTACCAGACATAAACAGGAAACGTTACACATATGATCTCCACACGCAGTGAAATTTCTCTCTTTCTGTGCTACATTTACTTTGCTTAAGTTGTGTTATGTATGTTTGTAAGTATGTTTTAGCTATAATTCAGAAAGAGACTGTGTTTTACAGTAAAGTGGTGTCCTCAAAGCGTCCATCTCTAGTTTGTGTGTTTATTCTGTTCTGCTGCTGGAATTGAGCTGTTGTTTAAACTGGGTTCTCATGCTAAATATTTGAGCAGCACTTTATCAATGAATGGTCAGTAACATTAGCAAAGCTGCAGCTAATGCAATCGCTATTTGAATCTGCTGTATGACAGAAAGGTAATGTCAGCTATGATAGTTAAATTTTAAAAAATAATGTGTGTTATGTATTTTATGATAATAAGGTCAGCGTCCCACACAACCTGAGCACTGATAGAGCTGCACTTATTGCTCTGCACCCAGTTGACTTGTGTGCTTGAACAGAGTCGCCCATCAGGTTTCGGAATGACCCTGTAGAAAAGTATCTCCATGTCAGACTCAGATCTGTGATCTTTCCCATCTCTGATCGACGAAAATGGGTGTAATCTATCCTGCAGGAGTGGCTGCTGATGCAAGTTGAGACATTTTTTTTTTCTTGTGAGTTTTCCAATCAATCAAATTAACCAGCAATTTTACTTGTTTGTTACGGTGCAAATTTTAAGTTATAACTTAAAGCTACTTTAAAACTATGTTACTTGTTGCAACGGAATAAATTCTAGTAGTTCATAAACTTGAACGCAGTGGCAGTTTACAGTCAAACTAGACTAAGATCAAACTTGCGTTCAGCTGTTGCAACTGGCTGTAGATGTTTTGTGAGTCTTAAATATGATAATGTATAATTTTAAAAAGCTAACTCTTCAAACGCTCAAATTTAGTTTTCAGTTTCATCATAAGGTTTTGCGAATTCAAAACATCTGATTCCCTATTTCAAACCATGGAAGACTCTTCCATGAAAACGCAGCCGGGTGTTGAAGCTAAATATATCTAATTAGCGCTTTTTTATGCTAACAAAACCTTTGCAGGTGATTTTTTTCATACAAAAAGTAACGGTGAAAGTTCAACATTTCTCAGAAGGTGAGACTTTTGAAAGGAGATGTACTTTGTTCTGTTAAGCCATATCGCACACTGCTCTGTGAGTTGGGCTTCTTTTGAATTTCACTGTTCAGAACTTCCACCAAAGAAAGCAGGAACATGTGAGAACCTCTCCTAACCACGTCCACACTCAGGAGAATACAGCGCAAACGGATGCGTATCCTCCAGCGACGGTTCGGGGTCGTCTTCTCCATCTGCTGAGCTGTTAAGTAAGATGCAGGAAAAGCTGTCACTGCTATCCATTTCAGCTCCAGCACAAAAATACTCCTGCAACTCAGAGCTCAGTCATTTTGTGAATTGCTCTGACAACGTGACAAAATTAAGAAAACTGTCAAGTCAAAAGCAGGCATGAGGTCAAAGCGGATCTCAGTGAAAAGACTAGACTGCGCTTCTTTTTCATGGAGCTGCTCCACAAAAAAAATGCATTTTCCTTGCTTTTTTCACATTTGTTCTAATTTAAACAGTGTATCAAATGTATCACTCACTCCCCACACAGTCTATAGATGGAAACTAAGCTTAAACTGTTTTGAATTCATCATGGTTGTGATGTCACAGCCGTAAACAAATTTTCATATGACCGCCTATTCATCTTGCGACAGTTTAGCTACCCATTCCCACTGAAGTGATATGAAGTGTTGTTTCTGCAAACTGCAGAAGAGTTACTGAAGTAGAAAATGTGGGGAAAGGATTAAATGTTGTGCTGTTCCAGGCTGTCAGGATGCAAATGGTTCTCTGCAGCCTTCCACAGCATCCATGCATCCTTCAGGATCAACTAAACTGAATTTTTTTTCCCATATTCCAGATGGAATTTCATTCCAAACTTAACAGTTTTCTCCAAAATTCAGGTTCTACTGCTTTTTGAAGAAGCATAATGCAGAACAACCAATCAGAAAAGACATCATTTACATTCACAAATCTATACAGTCAGAAATTCCAGAAGACCAACAAAAATAAAATCTGACACTTTCTTGCATTTTCTTCTGATATCTTATGATTGTTATTTAAGTCACGTGCAGTGACATCACCTTACGCTAATAGGCTTAACACAGCTACTTCCAATAAGTACATTAGCTTGCTTGCTAATGTTGATTTGGCGCCACAGGTAATTTAAGATAGCATAGCATAGCTAGACACAATCATTAGCTAGAAGAACAAACAAGTGATGCCAAATCAAGATTTGCAAGCTAGCTAGCATAGCTAGCTATGTAACTAACTGGCTATTACTTCTACTATGTTCTTGGTAACTAGATAATGTTTTGCTAGCATAGCATAGCTAGGTAGAACTATTAGCCAGCACAACATTGCTACCTCCCTACAATCATTAGCCAGAAGAACAAACCTGTAATGACAAATCAAGAATTGCAAGCTAGCCACCGTAGCTAGCTATGTAACTAACTAGCTATTATTTTTGCAATGATTTTGGTAACTAGATGATGATTAGTTAGCATAGCATAGCTAAATGATTAGATAGCACAACATAGCTGGCTCGCTACAATCATTAGTCAGAAAAACAAACCTGTGGCAACAAATCAGGATTTGCATGCTAGCTAATATAACCAGCTTTGTATCTAAATAGCTATTATTTCTGCTATGATTTTAACAACTAGATAATGATTAGCTAGCATAGCATAGCAAGGTAAAATCATTAGCTAGCATAACATTGCTAACTAGCCACAAACATTAACTAGAAGAACAAACCTGTGGCAACAAATCAAGGTTTGCAAGCTAGCTAACATAACCAGCTATGGATCTAAGTAGCTATTATGTGTACTGTGATTTTGGTAACTAGACAATGATTAGCTAGCATACCATAGCTAAATCTTTAGATAGCAAAACATAGCTGGCTCGCTACAACCATTAGCCAGAAAAAACAAACTATGTCACTAAATAGTCATTATTTCTCAACCATGATTTTAGTAAGTATTTAATGGTTAGCCAACCTAGCATAGCTACCTAAAATCATCAGTTAGCATAACATTGCTAACTAGCCACACTCCTTAGCTAGAAGAACAAGCCTATGGCACCAAATCGAGACAAGCAAGCTTCTTAGTTTTGTAATAAACCAGCTTTTATTTGTACCATGATTTTAGTAACAGCCTAATGTTAGAGCTAGTCTGGCTAATGTTTCACGATGTTAATTGGACAGTGTCTTTTTTTGGGTTCACTTGACCATGATAAGATCAAATTGAACAGCATCTGCTAACCCAGGACTTTGAAGGATAGCAGAGAGGAGGTCACTAGTGTTGCACAGTAACCAAAACAGCCTGTTTAACCTCTTATTCTCCAGGGTATATTTTGGTGTGTCCATCTGACTTTACATGACCAAATTATTCAGTAACTGCATTAAATAAATGTAATCATACACATATTGCTATATGCTTACAATTTACTGCTGAAAGCCAAAAATCTTAGACGCTCTTTGTATTTTTTTATAAAAATAATTTTTACAGAGCTGATCACTGAAGAGACGCCATCTGTTTATAGTTTATAGCCCAGATTTGTGGAAAAAATGGGTCGACTTTCAGTAGAAAAGTCAG